AGTTGTGGATATACTTATGAACATATCCTGTAACTATTCTTAAAAGCATACTTTGAGCTTATGATAATGCATATTAGAATATTAGACAATATATCCCTGTTTCTCACTCTCATTAGAAAGAATATTCATAAGTATTCAAAGTATCTGCATAAATTTGACAGCTAATTAGACTTTAAATATGCATGATTTGGATGTTACTTCTAGCCAAATTTCATTAGTATGTCAGTGGCAAGAAAAAATTTCAGAAGCAAATTTAGTTGTCAACTGCTACAAATTGCCATTTAGTACTTTTAATATTAATCTGAATGTATACATTAAATTAAAACATGGTATTAAAAGAACAAGCCGAAGCAACATTATCACACTTGAATCACAAGAGAATTATTTTTTTAAAAAAAATCCAACCAATTAGTTTTGTATGCTGAAACCTTGAAGGCATGAAAGCTTCTGTACTTGAAAAAAAGAATACCCCAAAGTATACATGGTACAGCTCACAAGACTTCAAATGTTTAAGTATTATTAGGCATTTTGTTTTTTGCTGTATTTTTATTTTTTATGCATCTAGTTATGTGATGCTGCCTCACTCAGAAGTTAATTACGATGAAGCCAATTTGTAAGGCAGATATAATCATATACTGGTTTCCGGTCAAAAAGTAATTTGACGTTGCAGGAAAAGGTACTGTTGACTATTCCACTCTCAGTAGACAGCTCTGAGCGCTACTGCCTTTGAACAATATGGCTTGATCCTTGTTAATCCCGTTCTGCTGCTGCTCAGTAAGCGCTGCAAGCTGAAACTGTACTGACATAACACGATGAAGGAGGCTGTGTGTGAGAGCAGACTGCACACAAAAGATCAGCTGATTTGGTAGTATCAGTGCACTGTGAAGAAAAGTTATGTACCTATTTTTATACCTGTGACCCACTCGTAGGATCATTTGTTCTCGTTTAGGAATACTGTTCTTTAAAGTAAGTCTTCGAATAACTGAGTTGGAGCTAAGACACAAGACGTTACTGAAAATGGATAGGCACGAGGAAAAGTCCCCGGTACTTTGTGCATGCACATAAATGCACATTATACAACTAAAATTGCACTGCTGAACTCCAGTTCACTTTCTAATCAAGATTTTACAGGTTATGCATGTGAAAATCAGGCAGAAATGAGTGTGTACCCTAGGCCAGCACAGGTCTAGATTTCCATCAACACAGCTTCTACAACCTCCAGGGTTTTATAAAGGGCAGTTTACATTTTCAGAAAGAAAAAGCTAACATATAAAACATTATCTTCTGGTGAACATGGCTATGAGAATGGAACAGGCATAAGACAAAACGAATGAAATCTCTAAAAGAAAAAAACAAAGTAAAGCTGGTCAAAAAACATGGAAGAAACATTTCAGAATAGTTATTCCACCAAGTAAGTCTCGTGCTAAATCCAGTACCTCTCAGGTCTTTTGACTTACTTCTCAGGCTAATATTTAAGTACTTTAGTTAGACTTTAAAAATGTACACATCTAGCATAAATGTGAGCTGGGCCTGTTTAGCCTGGAGAAGGGAAGTTGAGAGGGGATCTGATCAACATGTACAAGTACCTGAGAGGAGAATGTCAGAAGGATGTGGCCAAACTCTTCTCCATGGTGGCCAGTGACAGGACAAGGGGTAATGGGTGCAAATTGAAACTCAGGAAGTTCCATCTCCATGTGAGAAAGAACTTCTTTCCTGTGACGGTGACAGAGTACTGAAACAGGCTGCCCAGAGAGGTTGTGGAGTCTCCTTCTCTGGAGATCTTCAAAACCCGCTTGGATGCCACCCTGTGCCACGTGCTCTAGGTGTCCCTGCTGGAGCAGGGGGGTTGGACTAGATGATCTCTAGAGGCCTCTGCCAACCTCAGCCCTTCTGTGATTCTGTGAAAGTCTCTATTTTCACATTCTGCCATTCCTGCCCCTCTGACAGGGAAGTTTAATGATATCCTGCCACATTTTTAACAGTAACTTAACCTGGAACTATGTCTCCATCCCACTGGAGCCTCTGCTTCACGCTGTCAGCAGGGACAAAGCTTTGCAACAATTAAAGTCTCAAGTTTTAAATGGAAACAAAACCTAGCACTACATGTTTATGCTATATTCAACGAATCACCAGCTAGTTCTTTTTTTTTGCTGCATAAACTAATTTCTGTTTTCTCCTTCTGAAATTAACTGCTAGATATATTCATGAACAAGGCATCAACTCTGAATGGAATAAACCTGCCATCAAGCAAAATCTCCTTATATGACTTCAGTATTCAGGGCCCTGCCATTTGGCACACCAAGAGCAGTTGCAAATTCCGTTTAGTATCCTCCCAGTTTTGCAGCCCATGCTGCAATCCCAGTGAAGACAGACAACGTATGAAGAATTACTCTGCAAAGACTTTTCATAGCCCTGACATCAATTCTCTGTCATTATGACTTGTCTTTTTTTTTTTTTTTTTTTTTAACTAACCTGTTTTCCAAGTTCCTTTATGAACAGACCCAAGGACTGCAAAATGGGCACATTTACATCTAACGTTCCACAGGATAAAGGAGATTTTTATTCTTAAAAGCAAAAACTAGGGAGACGACTGCTCCAGCCTTCTGAGATCAGTACTATCATAATATGTTTTTAAAGTTCTAATTTTTAAGGTTTTAACGCATCTGCGATCTTACAGGATACTCCTAAAGGGTATCTGCTCATATCTTTGATACTCACAATCAGCACAGGCTTACTTGCACTCTGACTTTATTAAAGTAGAGGTATATCTTTCTCATAATTCACTTTTAGAACACCCACTGAAGGTTTTTTCTTTTTCTCCAGGCTATGTTGTCTAAACTTGACTTTCTCCAGAAGAAAAAACTCATCTCCCGTTTGGGTTATCCATCAAGTCCAGCCTCTGATGCCCAAAATTTGTTCGGAACCTTCTGCTTCCAGAACATCTCAATCAGTGGGAATGTTAGAACTGCCTTTGGAAAAGCAGGGCTAGCGGTGACAACAAGCATTTTTCCGATCCTACTTTCTAAGGGTTCTCAAAGGAAAAATATAAAACCCCAGGTTTTATCATGTTCATCTCTAGGAGATGGTACTAATACTGTATTAGCATTCTACACTTTTTTTTTTCCACAGAAAACAGTAAGTTGAAGACTATTCACAAGGAACAGTATACTTTATATTTTCCATCCTTCCTCTTTGAAGAGGATCGGCAACAGTTTAGTGCATCCAAACCAAGACATTCTATTAAATCATTCACAACATTTTGCAGTTGTGAGCACAATATGTACTGTATCACACAGTGTTAGCACATAATCCATATAAACCTTACTTTGGCTGGTAGAATAACATGGAAAGCAAAATATATATTAAAAAAGCAGCAAAAGCTAAATAATGAATTTACAATTAGAAATATCTTCTTATGTTGTATTTTTTATCATTTTAAATATCTAAGGATAAATCAAGTTTGTAATGCTTTTGTGATAAGCGTGTAGGAGAACTCTAATGATTGCCTGTTGAGATAATTCTCGGACAACTATTCTAACCTGAGAACAGCCTCCCATGCTGTTTAAGATGGTGTGAGCTCACACTCCCACCAACCAGCTGTTGCAACCTCTCTCCCCTGGGAGATGATCACATTCAGGATATGATCCAAGTTAAAATAACCCTTTTGATCTTTCCTGGATCCAGTTCTCAGCTGAATCAATGCAGTGGTCTGGTTCACTCTGTCTACCTTAGGCTGCTGATGATTTTTGACACTTATTTGCCAGCAATAATCTCAACACTTATATGAATAATGAAATCTGTCAAATATATATAAAGGTCTGAGGAAAAAAACGCATCAGTAACAAAAGTTAATGCAATAGAAACCATGTGTGACAGCTTGCCAGAAAATCTCAGAAAACACCCTCTATATGATACCACTGTAAAAATACTACAGTAATTACTTCAGAGTATATCTGCTGTATGAACACACAAAAGCTTGGTTTGTAAAAACACCCGTCATTTTCCAAGCTATTTGGCATGACTCACTGATGAAGACAAGAGAAGAGTGACGAATGGACCAACGATTAAGGGTAAACATGAAAAATATGAATAGTTCCATTCTGCCAAAGGTAAATTCAGCTTTCTGAAACTCTCTCTGCAACAAGTCTTGGATGGGGTTTAAAAGTCTACAGGGCAAATTCCATTGCCTTTCCTGCTGTTTTCAGTGCTGACAGTTTTCAGTGGGGCTATTCAGAATCATTTATCAGAAGGAAGTTACCAAAAAAATCAGTTTGCTTGAAACTTGAGAAAATCCTAGGTGTCAGCAGAGCAAAAAATAACACCTGTCAGCACAAAAGATGAAAAAGGGATTTAACTGCAGAAGTCAAGGAAAAAAGGCAACAAAATCTCGCCTGGCTGTTACTGCTGCAGCTTGCGTTCAGAAGCAGTAGCATCACTAATGGGGACTTTATAGCAGCTTCACTTGGAGAAGATGACACAAGACATGCTGGTTACACTGGATGTTTCTAGGTGCCTTCACATTCCCAAAGCAAACTACTATTCCGTGATATGAAGAAGTGGCAGAATTTTCAGACTAGTAAACTGCATCAGCAACGAGAAGATAAACAGTTTTATTAATTAGTTTTATTTATAATTACTATAAATTGCATCACTAAGTAATGACTTAGGAAAATAAATTGAATTTAAAGCCATACGAAACTGATGGTAGACTCCCTGAATTCCTGTCATAATGAATATGCTTACTAACAGAGCATCTATGATCTTGCTAATCATCACATTATCAAAAGCTACATAAATAGATCGTTTAAACAGCTGTATAACAGCTTGATATTGAAGCGAGCCAATAAGTGACAACGTATCAGCTCACTAAGGTAGTAAAATGTAAAAAAAGAGCAGCTTTTGTATGGAAATTCCTTGCAATTATGAAAAATGAACACTCACTCCTGTGAGCAAACCTAGTAATTTTTTTAGATTTTGGGGAAAATGAAAGATCCACTTACCGTTATCTTTGCTGCTGTTTTCTTCAATGGTCATTTGTTCTGCTAGCTCAGACAGCGATTCATCAATGGTCTGGCTTCCACGCAAGGTTAGCGAAAGTCTCCTCTTAAATTTTTTCATTCTATCAATATTAATTCTGGCTTAAAGCCTGAAAAAAAAAATGAAAAGAAAAATGTGAGAAAACACTTAAGTTCATCAGAAAACTAAATTAACTCACCTAAAAAATGCAGGAAGACTTAAAGGAAGTTTAGCCAATAAGTGATCCTTAAAACAAGCTAAGATCATTCTATCGGACTAAAGACAGAATGAAATTAAAAGAATGATATGAAGAGACTGTCAAAATCACCATGATGATGTACTGTCTGGTGAAACACTGCAGCAAGAAATCTAGATTAAAAAAAGTACACTCCTAGTATCTTCAAAAGATAAGAACCAACTTAACATCTTTAAAAATTAGGATATTTTAAATTTATCTAACCAGAGAGATGGACAAAATCAGTTTCAAACATATCTTCACAGAACTATTCATTTCAAATATCTCCAGAAAACTATTTATATCTGGCTAAATTGTCATCCGCGTTTTCATATAAATCACAAATTCTGCATAGAATGTTACTCTGCATAGAAATATCTGATTTTTTAATGTCTCACAGGAGATTTTTTTGAAGCTAATACACAATGCGGGATGACTTATTACAAAAAGGACCCGATTTTAAGTTAGTTTTACTACTATGCATTATAGGAATACAGTGCAATATTAGGACAGTAGAGACTAGAGAGCAAGGTTTACTGATAAAATTTGGCCTAGAATTTCTTAAAGTTACTGAGTTTCTCTGTATTTTGCCTGTATTAATTAGCATTCTACACTAGGGCCTGGTAAATAAGCCAGGGCCTGGTAACTATAGCCAGAGGGAGCTTCCCTACAGCGCGGCAGGGAGCCTGAGTTAGGAAGGAGGCAGGAGGCACTGGCTCTGCAGAAAGCAGCACACCCACCAAAAGGTACCGGTAACTAAAGTACAGGAGACGAGCGTGTTGCCACAAGTCTGAGCTGGCACGTGAGCTTGCAGAGTGCCCTGTGCTTGCCCTTACATGACAAGGGCTCTTCTGTGCTTCGCCATCCCACACGAACAATTCACCCCATGTTGTTGCACAATAACTTGTTCAACTGCTCGGGGCCCCAAAGAGTCACGCAGGCAGCGCCAAACATACAAGCACAGCAAACCTTGAATCCTAAGCTGCTCATGTACATTTGCCTGCTTTTATCAGCTTCTTTTACACTGCACAGTGCAGAATTCACATATATAATAAGAAAATCAATTAAACGCTTCCCTGATGTCCTCCTCCGAACAGAGGAATGCAAGAACTGCCTACATTTAACAACAGGTTGTGAATATGGTTACCTTATTACAGAGGCAGCATCCCATTAAGTGTACACCTTTCAGCCACACACCTTACTCCTTACACACCTACGTTCAGATGCTACGTAAGAGAGAACAGAACAACTTGGGCAGAAGCTGGAAGCGGCTGCTGGTGCCCGCGTTCACGGGCTGAACAACCATGAGACTCGATGGCACATTGTGGCAGGTGACACCAGGCTGGGCAAACGCAGACGCAGCAAGGTCATCGCTGGCAAAGCAGGAATTGCATCCAAGGGCAAACTGGGAAACGACCTTAGCACCACCACGAACGGTCAGAAACACATAAGTGGGAAACGAGAACCAAAGTTATGGAGAAACAGCGATGCCAGCACTTTCAAAAATGTCCCTTTTTCTTAATCCAGTTAATCCACGCCAGACCTCAGCACGATGGATTTTGGTCTCCCCCAAAAGCAGGATACTCTCATGATTACTCTCATGATTAAGAGAACGGTCACTGGAATCAGTGACTGGGAACAGTCACTTTTCTTCTTCCAGGCCTGCTTTAAAGAAGTTATCTGGAACTGTTGTGATTCTGGGTTTAACTTTTCCAAATGGATGGCCTATATATCTGTTCATTTATTTTTTCTTTAATGTAAAAGCAAATACCCTTTACAAGTGGATTTGCTCAGTTCTCTTACTACCCTGCATCTTCCTTCATGTATTGTTCTCAAAAAGGATACAAGAATTTTCACTTATGTAATACCACCATAAAGTTACCTGACTGCACAACATTTTCCTCCCAATTTTCCACTTGGGCAGCTACTGAAAATAAAGATGCTTTTATAGGGAAACAGACTGTTCCTGGCTTTTAATCCTGCAAATATTTAAGCCTACACACTTTTAGTCAGAAATGCCTACTACAGAAAAACATTACATAAAATTGTAACAGACACATGGATTACAGAATCCAAGAGATCATCTAAATATCAAGCTTAAATATAATAAAATATTTTGCTATCTATACATAGCACATTTTTATTGTTAGGAGAGGATTTCATGGAGTGTTGAAGCACTCATCTTTACTAAAAATATTTTTACTGAGATTCCTGCCAAATACATAGCTTAATTTTGAAAAACAAAACAAAACAAAACAAAATCTACAGTAAAAAAAAAAAAAGAATCAGAAGGGGGAATCCATGTGCAAATGAATCCCTTGCTTCTATGGAATGCAATGGAAATGGTTTACAGGGAAAAAAATGTTCACTAATACTTTTTCCCCTTAAAGCATCATGGTTCTTGCTAATCAAACATATACATAAATACTTAAGTGTGTATATATATACACATATGTGTTGAAGGCAAAGCAGAAGGAGTGACCAGAATATAGCACTTGGAAATATCTGAACTTCTAAATTCCTTCATTCTCACCTGGGCTAACACGACAGACCTACTGACTGCTGAGATAGGAGTCAGGATTGACTCCAAGGATAGGACTGCTGCTCTGAAAAGGCAAGAATTTTGGAGAAAGTCTTTTTTTTTTTAATTTTTTTTTTTTTTTT